TATATATATATATATATATATATATATATATATATAATACCGGCTTGCGGACAAGAATTGTGTCAACGCCAGAAGCATAATAACAATAACCATAACGGGAGAGGGTTTGGGATTTTCCGCCCCCGTTGACAGTGGACCAGTTGACATGGCAACCCAGACACATTCGCACCGTAGCCCAAAGGGTGCCGCATCAGAAATCGGAAAAAAACCAACCGACTCCGGCCTCAAATCGTGAGATTTGAACTGCCTCTTCTCTAGCTGAGAGTCAGCCACGGTACTCTTACGAACCCGAAACAGATGCACTTACTTGAAGTTCCATAAATGTCAACTGAATGTATTTTCCTGCGGGCGATTGAATCATTTGCGTACAGTTAGATTGTGTAGGAATGAAAAACCCGTTTCCGGTCGCATTTACTGCTATTCCAGTGACGTTGGTTTGCACTGTCGGTTTGCACAGGAACGGTTTAACTGAAGCAGAAGTACATCATCCGAATGAAAATTAGACATTATTAGGATTCCGATGTTCTATGATATACATTCATGTCTGGTTTGCTGGCAGGGTAATGATGTAATTGTTATACACGATTCCATACAATTTCAAAAGATCGATACCGTGAATCACTGTCGCTATTCACTTTTCAGCATTCAGACCTCAAATTATGTAATCCGTAGCTCCGAAGCTGCGCCTATATTTAAACAGGTGGGGTCTCGAACCATGACAAGGGTAAAAAGTAACAGACATTTAAGAAAATAGTTTCTTGCAAATAAGATCTGTTATCACATGGAGCTGTTCAAAAATATGAACAGTTCAGACTGGAATTCGATATTTTCAAAACTTTTGTCTAGGCGATGTGGTAGATGTGGTCCCTGTCTAGAATACACAGATACTGCTGGGGAAATGATCTAAAAGACCAATCGACGCTTCTACTGATAGAAAACAGTTAAGCTCAAAAGCGTTTATTCTATCCACTCATATCCTTCAGTAGGGAACAAAAAACTGTAGTAAAAATCTAGCTGTATTCACTCAATTTATTCCCTGCGAGTATTGAAGTTCACTTACTGGATGACCACTGTTAATGCGCATTGTGCAATTAAGCTTTGGTCCACAGGCAGTACCGGATAGTTGTATTTTTTTTCTCTATCCTTATTGCTTCTTTTTTATTGTATCCCTATGGGAATTAAACTGGTGAATCTTCTGGTCGAAAGCTGAATCTCGTATCCCTTCAAAATGTGGCTGTTGATGAACCCGTAGCTCTCACGGATTCATCCACGAATTTCCCAAGTTCTTTTATTAGTTCTTACGAACTCACCGATTTTAGGATCAGTGTAACCGGATACTTACTGTGCAAATCTTATGCATAGAGAAGATTTTGCGTGTTTTCTGCTGATTTCATACTCTTTTATTTGTGTCCAAATTTCTTTATGGCCAGAAACGAGAGCTAAAGATCTTGGATGCGAGAACTTCCGTGAATGAGACCTATACGAAGCAGGAATCTATAACAGGAAACAGGCACGCGACTTGATCGCTTCCTCACACGGATTGCTATTTCACGTTTTCTGAACCTTTGATCTATATTGTGGATTTCTGGAATGTAGACCCGAGAAAAGATCCATCTTTCCATCTCGTGATTTTGACATCCATGAATTGAAACGGTCTTAGGTTCATGTTCTACGGTAAACTCGATGGTAGGATGACAGCCATTCAAAGATTTTAGCATTTCTTTAGCATAATTCTTGTCTTTGACAACAACAAACGTATCCTCAACACAACGCTTATAGAAAAAAGTCTCATGTACTGACTGATAAAGTTTTGTTCCTTCTATGTGGCCCATGAATAAGTATATCGTCTAACACTGGTCCTAAAGGGCTTCCCATTGTCACGCCGTCAACTGGTCGATATAATCTGCCATTGAAACAAAACTGTACGTCTTTTGTACATAACAGCAAGAGCTTCATAAGATGATGAGGTGGTACGCTTAGGTGACTAGCTTGGGAGCACACAATGTCTATTGTTCCTTCAAAGGGGACATTCGTGAATAATAAGCAGACGTCATACGATACCATTGGTTTCTTTGAAACATTTAGCGTAACCATTTCGTATGAAAAATAAAATGAGTCCTTCAGACTGTGCTGCAAACTTGCGCCTGATTGGATCTGTCAGTTTTTCAAACCAACGTTCTAACTTTTAGTGTGGTGCACCAATCACAGAGAGTATAGAACGTAGTTGCATCCCTTCTTTGCAAACCTTGGGTAAATCGTACATTCGAGGCAGCCGCGAGCCATGAGGAAGAATTTGGGTAACTGTAATAATCGAATAGGAACCGGAATTGAACAGCGCGAACTTGAACTCGAACTGAAAACCACTGAATTACGCAACGCAAGGTAAAACCAAGACGAGCTGTGGATACAGATGATTCTATTGAGAAAAGCACGCAAATATATATCACATGCGACCAACAGTTATTGGTCGGTTTCTGGACGTCCAATCGGCGACAGTGTGGTTTATTATTATACCTTCATGTATTCGGCCAATCTGGTTGATGCCAATCGGGACCACAGGATTGGTCGGTTATTCTATTCTTGATTGGTTAGCCGGAAGCTGTACCGCGGTGCGTGAGTATTCGTTGCACGATCACCACAGTAACAGTAGACGTGTCTATGTGACCATTTTCGTGTAGCTGGCGTAGTTCACGAGCAATCGATTGTTCACCATTTGCTGTCCGGTCACGTGCGGTACTTTCAGGAACAAAATATTTGAGAATCATCAAGTATTTTTACATTTTTTGAACATAATCGTTCACGTCCAATATGATTACACCAGAGCCCTTGTCGGGCCGTAGCATTACTATTTTATCATTTTTTGAGTAGTTCATGCAATGCTTTGCGATGATTGTCTGATATCATCGTCGATGCACCTGCATTCATGACACGTATCTGATTTGCTAGATCCTCTGCTTTGGCTTTGAACAGACAAACTGTATCAAGTGATTAGGGGAGTTAAATCAGAAGTTTGGTCAAACAAATATTCCAACTGTGTTTCGATGTTTAGGCGATCAAATTTAGTATACGGGACACAAAAATCGAAACCAAAGGATAGGGCTTCAATCCGGAGTTGATTAAGGGTAACATTCGACTGATTGGTCACGTACCTCTCCGGATTTGGTGGAAACTGCTCATCCGGGCAGAAAGGGACCAGAGATTTATTCAATTCGTTGGTGGATCGTAGCAAAGTTTTTCGCTGTATCATCAATTACATCATCAATTACAATGAAAAGCTTTGCCACGATCCGCCAATGAATTGGATATATTGTGGATGTTTCTTTTTTCTATTTAGAAGTGTTTGTTTGGAGCTCTGTCGCGTAAACATGGACCTACTGTTTGGTCTTGGTTGTATGATTCCTTACAGGTCGAAATAGCAAGCAAACCATGGTGATAGTGACACAAGAGCCCTCAAAAGGTGTGTTTGAAAAAAACATATATTGGGAATGAAGTATTGTGAAATTTGAGTTGATTGTTAGTTTTATCGTAATTGAAGTAAGGAGAACACAAACTGAAACAATTAAAAGCACTTTAGAGTGTTTGCAAACGATCTGGCTGGAAACTGTCCGGGGTGCCTTGCAAGTGAAAGGCCAGTATGAAACCCGCTTGTAATTTTCGAAACATGGTCTATCGTATCCTAATTCCTGCCGGCTAGAGAGAGAAACTGGGCTTTTCTGACAAGTCCCTGAGCCTACCTACGCGGTGCTCATTGCGCCTTCTCGATCATTGTGCAAAATGGCAATGCGAATAAACTCATACCAAACTGATTTTACCGTCCCCCTGAAATATGAGATCATCGAGGATCGAATCAGTTCTGAGCACAACGTACCCACTTTGACAATGAAATGTACCAGATTTCCCCAGGGCAGATTTTTTAGTGCGATATTGATATGCAGTTTGTTCTCACTGGATCGAATCTTCATCGGGGCAATCACGCCACAGTACTTTGTCTCCGTCGAATTTACATCGACCCCGTCTCCGACCTGGAAATAATTGGTCCCACAATCTGTTATCTGAGGGAGCTGTGAGAAAGACGAGGGGGAGGATAAACTCAACCAATGAGCACACAATTGATTCACAAGCTGTCGATGGTGGCAAACAAAAATCGAGCAAATCCCGAACTCGAAACAACTGGGAACAAAACATTCAACATCCCCGAATCATTCAGACCGAACAGTGATCAGGTGTTCCTCACTCAAAAACAAATCTCGCTACCTGTTCACTCCGGATGAAACTCTGATAAAAGTGAAAATTAGCTTTCCAGCTACAATTACTTTTACCGAATCAACTGAGCAGTGTACACTTAGACGAGATCTGGAACACAGTTATAAAAAAACAAAATCAATAACATGGATTTCACACCATTATTCACAAATAATCGCAATAATAATAAATTTGTTTACTTCTTTTTCTGTTAACTAATCAGCTGAATGTACACTAAACTTTCAGTAATGAGGCTGCGGCCATAAAAATCTCACCTCCGGGAATACAGACACTCAGAAAATGTGCGGTGATCACGGGGTTCAAACTCAGTAATCCAGGTGACTATGTTGACAATCTCACCACTTGATCGCCTCCACCGGAACTATAAATATGATATAAACTACCAATATTCAAAAAGAAATTAGTCTTCAGTCTGGTAACGCGGATTTGCGATATCTACGGTCCAGTTGCACAATTTGAGAAATGAAGATTGTTAGTAAGTATGTATACATGATACCGTGGTTGAATTACGTCAGGTGGAATTGTGGGCTAAGCGAATATGATACCGTTCAATTAAAATTTGTTCGATCTGTAATAAAATGAGAAAATCCTATCCGAACCATTCAGTAATGTCCAACCAGCACCCGGAGACTGTTTGGTTGACCATTGTCATCGTTCATTTTCATTCTCGGTTTTCACTCACACGTGAACTTGTTGCGAGTAGCGTCTGTCATCTGACTTTGGATGCTACCAAAGCCCGGGTTTGTGGGAGTGGCAAGCGTCGACATTTTTGTATGAACTCTTGTGCCTATTTTGCTCCCATTTTCCGCACCTATTTTTCCCTTGGTAGTACTTGTAATACTTTGTTTCCCATTTCAACCCAGGTTCGTTCATCATTCGGCAATAAGCAAGCCTCAGGGCTCCGGGTTACCGGTGACTTCTATCATCCACAAGGCTCATCTTCCCAATGTTCTTGGTATGAGAAAACAATCCCGGATTCGTTTTGTGATCCTTCTTTGTTTCAGCACAAACATTCAGTTAAACACTAATTTAAATCACACACACAAAAAATTAATCATTACCCCCATGTCAACATGTTTCATACAAACACAATTATAGGGGGTAAGTTGGCGAGATATTTGAGTACCCTTGAACCAGAAATGCAATACTAAGAGTCCCGGTCATTTCCGCAAGGCTACACGTAAGTATAGTAAATTTGGAATGATCCATTCGATTGTTCACAGGGATCAGGCTCTGTGGATTGTCTTCATCCATTCGCAAAGGTTAGTGACCGTCGACCGCATAGCTCAGGGGTAAGGGTTTGAAGTCCCGACCCGAAAGTTCGCGGTTCGAGTCCTGATAGGGACGCAGAAACAGTACACTACTGACGAGTCCCAAACAGTACGAAACAGCTACCCATTGCTCTTTCTCGGTAGTCAAAATTCTTCTCATCGCTTACAAACTACACGTAAGTACTCTGGCCGTTGATCTCCCGTGTCAACGTTACTTAATTTAACCTCCATCCTGGTCCAGTGACATCAACTAAGGGATACGCCGTATGTTGAATACGTGTTGATCACCTACTACTATCGTCCCTTCGTATCCAGTTTACTCTGTTCCATTTGTACTTTTCCTTGCTTCACCCTTGAGGCTTGTTCCTCTTTATCCATCTTAGTGTGTCACATTTCTGAGCCGACCCACGAATTTATTGATCGAATTGATTGTTTCTCACCCTCCCCCTTTGTGTCAGTGACCCATGTCACCGCTGTTCAGTTGACTAAGCCATCAACCGATATATGACACTTTTCATTGTCTAAACAATCCCACGGAGCAAATTTTCAAATAGAACAAGGAGTGGCCAAAAAGCTCGTTTTCAGTGATTCGTAGTCATGCCAAATACATCGCAATAAATATTACACTGTTTATACATAAATCAGTATTCAATCATAAAAACGCAAACAAATGTTTCGGGAAATGGAAAATAACCTCATGGGTTATCCGGGGCTAAGTTCATCTTGGGACCGGATATGGAATTCTCAATGATCACATAATTGTTAGGTCATCCGATCGTTGGGACCACTCGGAATATGGGGTGTATAGGAGGTGGGCCAGGGGAGCTTAAGCGCCTGCACAAATTGTTTTTGGGCACACAAAAGGGGGTGGTGCAGCCGAATTCCTACCGCTTCCGCTGTNTACGACAGCGAACCTGCCTTGATAATCGATCACGAACTCGATACAGGGGACGGAATGCCTCGGTCACATTCACAGTGTGATTTGTTTCAACTAGGTATGAGATCACTGCACTAGTGAGTGACTTAATCGTTCCTGTGTTAAGCCATGCGAGGTGGTGTTCACGGATTCGTTCGGACAAACGCCTGACCGTGCGGCCTATGTACGTGGTTCCACAGGAACACGTAAATGAGTACACACAAGATGAGATGGCAGAATCCGGCAC